AAAAAAAGATTGTAATCCTCACTTGCACTGAGTTCGTGTTAGACAAAACCAACGAGTACTTAAAGCAACTCGAGACCAACAGTTATCTTCGAGCTTGGAAACTTGCGGATGGTTTAGCTCTAGAGAGATGGGCTGTCACGATGATTTTCTGAGAAGCCTAGAAAAGAAAGATAGTTCGAAGTCGGCTATGGAATGTAATAGTCATGTTTCTGGTACTATAACAATAGTTGGAGAGCAGATGAGGACCAGAACCTGCAGCACGTACATGTTAGTCAGCAAGGGTCTGGAATTCAAAATTAACGGTGTAATGGGGGGGGGCGGACTGTAGGCATCTGTAAGTCATCCAGTGGTTGACATGCCACAGAACCCAGGGAGCAAATGCTCACGTCTGGTTCTGTAAAATATCTTGTGATACAAAAGACCGCCGGTAGGGGAGATAAAATGTTGGTCAAAATGAGAATTTGTGATGGCAAGAGAAACAACTCTCGAAAATATAAATTTATTGATCAACCTATACTTTAGCATGTACGAAAGTGACTTGTCATTTGTTTTAAACAAACAAAAAGCGTACCAGCCGTTGTTCAAACTTTAACATTTTATTTCCCCTTTCGCTGCAGAAATTCCGGTGCAAAAAGACTTCACGGCCACAATCGTGAATTCAACCACAGTACGCCTGACACCGAAGGCCCCACCTATTTCACAGCCATGGGGCAACAAGTACCTGCTCACTATGAACAATCGCACCTTCACTAAGCCCTATACGGTGATCACCACAGAGGAGACAATAATCAACCTGCAGCCATTTGGCATTAACAATGTCACGCTCCAGACTCCTGACACGAGTGACAATCCTTTCCCCGCTAAAGTATTTGGTTCCGTACAAATGCCAGCCAGTGGTAATTTGCAATTAACACTTCTGTGCATTACTTCATCTTTGCAAATAATCTAAATAAATAAATGTACGAAGTTACCAGCGCTGACGTGCGCGACGAACCCGCCAGAGGAGAAAGCAGGCTTCACCGTGTAGACGAAACATAACGCCAACTGCCATCAATTACGCCAGCATCCACATGTAGGGCAACGCCGCGAACGAAAAAAAAATCGATCACTCAACGGCCTACGAGTACAGCCGCATATTCAAATTGCCGATCGATAGTGACAGTTCGAACTTTTACAAAGGAAAGCCGGCCCAGCTCTCCGAAACGTCAGTGAAAGCGAAAATTCGTTCTCATGAGTGGTTTCATTTTCAACGGAAAATATATCGTTCCTTTCATGGAATTTACGAATCATGTCTGATTTTCTGACTTTTACCGTGCTATTTCATGCGACAGAGCAAAATCTCTTCGGTTGTGCGTTATGCTATAAGAGAATACAAATATAATCAAGAAAGGTTTCACAGAGATTGGGCAAGTAGAAGGGGACTGCAATTTTTCCGGGAGAAGGAACAAAATACTCTTTAAATATTGTTTTGGTAGGACTGATTAAAAATGCCGCAAAAATCCTGTCCACTTACAATAAGAAAATTACTTTTACATTTTTAGCAGGCCGACTTTGAATTTTTGCATAAAATTCCACCAATAGAAGGACGAATTCCCATTTTCGTTAAATTCCGCCAACATAAGATCGAATTTCACTTAATTTGCATTCGTATTCTGTGCAATAACAGTTCATGTTAATTGAATTTTATTCTAATTTAGCATATTAAAACAAACATATTATTTGATTTAATATTTTCTTATCACTTCCACCACAATTACATATGAATTTAAGCACACTAGCCAAGAATTAAATGTCTGACCACAAAATACGTTAAGCAGGTGGGCGGGGGGTAGATACAAAGAGGGCTCCAAAAATCAGTTTTGCCGTTGTTTTTGCCAACTTTTGAAGCTTTTCGACGCAGACCACTGCAATAAACTTGTTTAACTCGATTTAGTTTAACTTCACCGAGAAGTGGGCCCGCAAAATCAAATACACGTACTTTTTCGCGGTGAAGGACTCCCACAACAAGCTCTCTCACATTTAACACATGCGGCAGGATACTTTTTACTATAATATCAGTGAAAATCTGATTCGCAGGCGGTAAGTCAGAGGGCGAAAGAGCATTCACGGCGAGAGGTTTAGTTGATATTTGACGTTCCGATTAGTTGTCTAGTCTATCCATCTTCAGAGATTAAATGTTCTAGCTCCTGTATATTACTATATGCCGCTCTTTTTTCCGCCTGCGTAGACTGTCAATCCTGGCCGAGCCGCTGTGTGTCTCCCGTCTCGTCGTCAGTCTCCTCGTTGACCTTGGCTGTAACTGGGACGCCAGTGTTAGTTTCGTCCCCCACGCGTTAGTCATCTGTGTCGCGTCAGTTCCCGTCTCGCTATAACTCGTTTCATGCACAGATATATTGGCCGTAGAGCTGGATAGCGGCCCCAGCGTGCTACGCCGTGACTGTCCCCTGATTAGAATGTTTTAATAAACCATAGGGGGCAGGCACATTTATGGGGCTGTTTACCGACACCCAGGCTTCTTTAATCCGCCTTGATGTGTGATGGTCGCCTCGTCGCGTAATTTCAATGACGTCAAGGTTGAAGCATGGTTTACTACCTCCGACTCTGGGTCCAGTCTTCTTACAGCTTACTGATGTTCATGTATTCGCGTTTGTAGCTGCCAACCGGCTTCTCCAACGTAGTCGCACATCCCGTAACTGCACTGAAGTCCGTAGACGACGCCTGGCTATTGGAGAAGCTGACGTTTCTTACGGCGGGCTCACAAACGACAGTCCAGTCAGCGGTACAATTCTTCGACAAACTCAAACAGTCACAGTTAAGCCATACGAAAGGACGGTGTCTTTCGACGCCGTATCACTCTTCACACCTATAGCACAGGTCTTAGCTGTTCAAACTATCCGAGATCTTCTGCGTCAGAGTTAAGATGAGAAAGAAGAGCAGCCCACGATTCAGGATTAAACTCCTGGCGCACTGCCTTGCGACCTTCTTCACCTTCGAAGGGACCACATGTGAGCTAATAAAACGCGCCCTAATGGGGTTCTCAGTCTCTGGGCTCATTGTCGAGATGGTACTCTAAAAACTCGACGGACGGTCGTTTGGATAATATGAACCCAAATTTTGTGCACTTTGATTTGATTATACTTTCTAAGGGTAGA